CTCTCTCTCTCTCTCTCTCTCTCTCTCTCTCTCTCTCTCTCTCTCTTTCGATCCAAATATTTAACAAACACAATTAAAGATATTTAATTTATATAAAATACGTAATTATATACGTATATAGATACGTAACGCGTCTAAGAAATTTCTTCATTTATCTTTTTTCTATCCATCGTCACATATATATATCAATATAAACGATATTATTATAATAATTATTGCGTCCAACAAAATAACATTTTTACAATGTAGAAAATGTTCGTCCAAATACGATGAAAATTACGCAACTAGTCATAACATTATAGTTAAATTTTTTCTACACACGCGTACTCCAGTGTTTTTAGACGTGTACACATTATATACAACAAAAATTATAAAATATCACTTAAGAACATTTATATTTTAATTATTGCTATCTTTCGCGAAAGGATAGTGTTACGGGTTTCTGAAAAATTTAGAAGATGTTAACAGGAAATTTTCTCCAGGAAAGTAAACGACTTTTGTGCGTAAAATGGTATTTGAAATAGAAAAGAAATATAAATTTATTTCACCTTTAAAAAAAAAACTAACAATAAGTAATAATTCAAATTAAAAAAAAAAAAATTAAATTTTAATAATATATATAAAAATTTTAGTAATGTATTAAAAATAAATGCTTAAATATCAAAAATGACTATTGTATTTTACTACAAATACTGGTTTATATAATTATAATCTTGAACATTATTTGCATTTGTCGCTCTTTCCTTCGAGAAACAAATTTCTTTTTGATCTTTAAAAAAATACAGAGATCAACAAAACGAAATGATTTCGTTTAAAAAAAAAAAAAAAAAAAAAAAAAAAAAGAAACACATCCAAACATACAATTTATAGCAAAATTAATAGTATACTTTCTTCACACTTGAAATCTTTCGATATTATTCATTTGGAACTGGTCGTATATCAAATACCGAGGAAGTGAATAGGAATAAGGAAAATCGATAATAATATAAAAGAAAATTCGTTTTACATTTGTTGCAGCCAAGCGAGCTCAGAAATAATATTTTTAATACTAAAAACTTAGTAATAATCTACACGTAGAAAAGCATTTAAACGTCGAATTGAAAGCTCGCCGTTTATAATAATCATATAATGGCTTCATTGTAGTAAAATTATAGTAATAACAATCACATATGGTGTTATTATTTCAACAAAATATAACACGCAAAAATGTTTAAAATGATAAGACATAAATAATTTAGATATATCGTGTGCTCGACGTAGTGCTTAGAAACCATGTAACATTAAAAATATATATATATTTATATATATTTATATATATATATATTTATATGTATAATATATATAATATGTATAAATTGTTGAGTTATTTCCTATAAATATCTTCTAAAATCTGGCTTGGCAAATTAATCACTTAGAAACAAATTCACAATTTTTTAGTCATTAACTTTAGGCACCAATGGTATGCAGACCCTGTCTTTGGTACATACGACCGATTCTATTTTATCATATATCTGAACGTTAGAAGACATCACTCGATTCATCTTCTAGCCATTAGAAGAATTCTTTCGTTTAACAATACACCAGTTACTCGTTTCTTCGTTTCATTTCACATTGTTTGTTACATTATCAGTTTTAGCTTTGTTCCAGTGCGATACCAAGGAATTATTCGTATTCCTTTTTCCTTTCTTTTTTTTTTTTTTTTTTTTCATTTAACAAAACGACACAGTCCTCAAACACGTCTCATAACAAAAACTCAGTCTTCTTCCTTCTTCTCTGGCTTCAAATCTACCATTGCGTGGAGTTCTTCTGGACTGTATCTACAATTGAATATCATGTTATGATATAATGATATAACGAACAATCAACCAATGAGACCAAATACTCTTTTATCGACCGATTATCATCCATTATTAATCTCCGGGGGTAACTAAAAATTCAGAAAATATTGGATCCTTACCCTAAGAGACTCTGTAAGTCACAGACAAAACGGTAAACGTATCGTTTGCCGGCTGTTTTATGTATAATATTCTTGTCATAATAATAACGAAGACCACGGCTCAACTTCTCGTAATTCATTTTAGGCTTGTTCTTGCGGATGCCCCAGCGACGTGCCACCTCATCTGGATCCGTCAGCTTAAACTCCCAGCCATCGCCGGTCCACGAGATAAAGCCTTGGCATGATTTATCTGTTAACAACTCTAACAGAAACTGCCAAAGTTGAATGGGACCGGAACCGGTAAAGCAAGGTCCACTGCCTGAAACATTAAAATAAATAATTTTTCTTATCTTCTCCCCAATCTTTTTTACACGATTACAATTTCAAGTAATCAATCATTACTCGTATAACCAGGGATCATCGCGCTCTGCAACAGAGGCTTCTGATCAGGATTATTTCCTATAGACGAGGGATGATGAGGATTGGAAGAGTCCCTTGGACCAAGACCGGCTAGGAATGCCGGATGATGCGACAAGTGCTCGAGAGGGCCTACTCCCCATTGATCACCCCCAACGCCACCACCTCCACCTCCGCTTCCGCTTCCAGGAACCGTTTGGAATGGCGTCGCGTCGTATTGCCCGTATCCACCGCTCTCACTGTATCCCTCGTGGTATCGACCTGTTGCGAGCCGTCGATCGTTAAACCGATTTTTCACATTCACTTTATTATTCATTATATATATATATACAAATCGTTTCACAAATATTTTCAATCGTTCAAATTACCTCGAGGATAATTTTTAAAAGGCGATTGCTGATACTTGGGCTCGAGATGAATTCCACTGGTGCTGTAAAATTCCGGCGAGCCGTCGAGATTAAAAGGATGCGGCGGTTGATGATCCTGCGGCAGGCTATGATACTCGGAGGCTTCATCGTATCCGGAATAATTTGCCGGAGTCATGTAGCTCTCCGTGGCGGCTTGGCTAACCCTTAAATCGCTCTCGTTGGTCCCTGTACCCGCGAGATCGTTGCCGCTCGTCAAACCTGCTCCACCCCCTTGGAGGTGTTCCGTTATATGGTGATTGCTGTAGTTCGCTGTCAAAAGATCAATCAAAATTCAATCGAGAATCGAACAATTATCCTTTCACGAAATCTTCCATATTTCTCACACTTTCTTCTCCTTTCTTTCTTTTTTTCTTTTTTTTTTTTTTTTTCATGGAAATACTTACACTCCGTTTTGAGCTGATTTAAGTTCCGTAGATGTATATACGCGTTGTTCGCGTTATTGTTATTGTTATTGTTATTGTTGCTATTCGGAGTACTGGAATGAGAGTTGGGCGCTTGAGTGTTATGGCTATGGGGTGGCGGCGAGGTTTCATCCCTCTGATTCTCGTCTTGGCACACGGGACTGCGTAAATGATTGTAACCTCCTGAAAAATATAAAAAGAGACGTTTATAATCTCGCGTCCACGCTCGTCCACCAGTTCCCTTTGTCTTTGATCGTCCAATTACTTAAACCACGATGACAGATCAATGCGATGTTAAAAAGTGATCGTAATTTATGGATTTTTCACGCTATATCTGAATCTCTGTCTGCCTATTTCTGCCTCTTCGTGAAAATATTTCTATTTCATTCGAAGAATTGCGGATCCCATCGATTCGATTTCCCATCGTTTCGACGATCTCGATCTCGCTGGAATCGTCGACGTGGTGGAAAATTGATCGGTGGAACCTGGGGGACTTGGACGGTGTCACGAGAGGTACGGAGTCTGCAGGGAGGAACCGCTGACACGTGGGCGGCGCGCATCTCGTCGATTGGCCCGAGCCAAACTCCGCCTATCCTCGACTTCCTTTCCTCGGCCACGAGAAACTCGTCGAGAGCGCGCGTCCATTACGGAGGCTGCGAAACCGGCTTCGTCCTTCTTCGATCGCTAACGAACGCGATAACGCTCGTAAAATATCAATCTGATCTCTCGATCTAGCCAAGATCGTGGAAAATCGAGTGGATTCGAAAGAAAAAGATCCCCCTTCTAAATCTTTTTTGGATTGGACGCTCGACATCTTTTTAACAATATGAAAACCATCATCGTATTACAAAGAATATCGTTTATTATCTTACACTCACATACACTTACGTACACTCCGAGCAGCACAAGGATGCGAGAAATCGGTAAAAGTTTCATTTGATTTATAAGAATATATTATCCCGTGACCAATTTCCACCACATTGCTCGTATATTTAATTAAAACGAAACGATTCGAGCAACAACGATAACACCGTATTTTCACTCTCGACTCGGTCGAGAGTGGCTGATAAGACCTGAAGGGGGATAATGCCGTCTCCGAATCCGCGAAGATAAAAATACCGCGCATCCGGTTTCGATTACGGAGTTTCAATGTACCGATAACGTTTCGTCGATCTTTCGAATTACTTATCTGAAATTTCTCTCCCCGAGAAGAATCTTGGGTATGCGGTGCATGCAATGCTTCGGATCATCGGGATCGCAATTAATTCTCGATAAAGTTAAATACAAATCAAACGGAATTGGAAAACTCATGTATACAGTTATTACACGCGATTACGTATTACAACACGTTCCCATTTATCGAATCGTATAAATTTAATCAAATTCTCTCTTTTTCGAGAGATATCTCCCCCTCCCCTCCGACTCGCTAATTATTCCGAGCAGTTTATTCGTGACCCGCCATTCCACGGCCATCCCCCGATGTCGTGAGGGACAATGGCTTCTGCCGGATTATCATAATCCGTCGGCTAAGCGTCGCGTTGCGTGAACAGTCGGAATTACAATGTGCACGATATGTGTGACCAGCCGACGTTCCCACACTTATCCTTTTTTTAACGGCGAGGAAAACAGGTGGCTACTCGACCCGTAACGAGCCAACCATCGTTCGCGACATGGTTAATAGATCCATTGCGTTAACGAACCTCCATCAAACAATATCTCTCGATCGGCAAGATGAATTAAGTCTTAATTAATTGTATCGTCGAGTATGCATTCAAGTAAATAATAGGCGAGAAATCGAGCTCATCGAATTTTACGACGGATTGAGGTTTCTCGTGATGTTGATGCGCGGATGATTTAACGTCGGTGAGCTTTACCTCTTTCGCTTACATCGTCCTTTAAAGAGATATTTTATAATAACAATATATATATAGCAATGAATATAACCTAATAATTTTATTTGTAATTTTCATCATTATCATCATAGGCGAGAAATCGACGGAGCGAGTTTATCAAATTTTATAGATTGAGATTTCTCGTGATGTTGATACGCGGATGATTTACTATGTCGGTGTAATTCTTTTTTACATCGCCATTAAGGGGGTATTTTATAATAACAATATATACAAGCTATATATATAATATAAGCTAGTAATTTTATTTGTAATTTCAATCATTATCATCATGTAACAGGCGAGAAATCGACGATTTACTTGACGTTGGTGAGCTTTACCTCTTTTGCTTACATCGTCGTTTAAGGGTGTATTTTGCAATTTTCGGGGATGAGATGAAGAACGAGGAAGAATGGAGTAAACGCGTGTCTGAATATATAAATTCTTCATAAAGGTATTTTTACATAACAATATATAGATATATAGTAATCAATATAAGAAGGTAGTAATTTTGTTTGTAATTTTCATCATTATCATCATATAATAGACGAGAAATCGACGGAGCTCGATTTACTTGACGTTGGTGAGCTTTACCTCTTTCGCTTACATCGTCGTTTAAGGGTGTATTTTGCAATTTTCGAGGATGAGATGAAGAACGAGGAAGAATGGAGTAAACGCATGTCTGAATATATAAATTCTTCATAAAGATATTTTTACATAACAATATATAGATATATATACTAATTAATATAAGAAGGTAGTAATTTTGTTTGTAATTTTCATCATTATCATCATATAGCAGGCGAGAAATCGATGGAGCGAGCTCATCGAATTTTACGGATTGACATTTCTCTCTAATGTTGATGCGCGGTGAGCTTTACTTCTTTTGCTTACATCGTCATTTAAGGGTGTATTTTGCAATTTTTGGGGATGAGACGAAGAAACGAGGAAGAGCAGAATAAACGCGTGTCTGAATATATAAATTCTTCATAAAGGTATTTTTACATAACAATATATATAGATATATATAGTAATCAATATAAGAAGCTAATAATTTCGTTTATAATTTTCATCGTTATCCGAGATTCGACACATCCTGAGAGCGACACGTTGAAGCATTGTGGAAAAAGAAGAAAAGAAGAAAGATCTGTTCACTCCAAAAAACAAAAGAATAGAGGAGAAAGAGAGAGATCTAATCTTTCCTCGCGGATACCGGCACGAACGATGATGGAAGAGTAGTGACTAGGCGCGGAATTATCACAAGTCCAGGCGGGTTTCTCATAGGTTGGGGGGGCAGCAAGTCGTTTCGAAGAACGTGGACGTTAATGGGGCCCAAGGGACGGACCCTTGCGCACACCACCTACACCTGCACGGGCTGGCGTGTAGCTGCACCTCGCACCCCATTTCATGGACGGTGAGCGTGGGAGTGCAGCTTTGAGTCGGCCCTCACGGCATGCCACGCATACGCACACGCGTACATACGCGGGGCACAGACATAAAACTGGTGAACACTTTGCCCATGTGCTTCTCCACGAGGTAAACGTTTTCATGCTACCTAAATGCACCCTCTTCTCGCGCTCCTTCTTCCATCTCCTCCGCCTCTTCTTCTTCTTCCTCTTCTTCTTCTTCTTCTTCCACCTCCTCTTCCTCTACTTCTTCATCTTCGTCGTCGTCTCGAACACCGCGACTCCGAAAGGGAGGAGGGCAACGAAACTATTCCGAAAATTCCTGAGCATTCAGGCCGCGCGTTTGTTCACACGGATGAACAATTGAAGCCGGAGCAACGATTCTTTTCTCCTCTCTCGTTCGTTTGTCTTGATCGTTTGTCTTTTTCTTCTTTTTTTTTTATACTCCTTCTCGCTCCTCTTTCTTTTTTTCTTTCTTTTTTTTTGTTTTCTTCTCTTTTTCGAGTTGAAGCAATGTGGCATACTCTCGATGGTATTTCGCGATTGGGATCTTTAAACTTGTAACCGGATGGGGACGTTATGTTATGCGCTCCGATCTTTCGATATTACATTCGTTTTTTTAAATAGTTTTTTAATAGTTTGGTATAGTATTAGATAGTTTTTAGTATACGATTAATTCCAAGTTCATATATTAATTCCAACGATTATGAAATAAGAGTTAAATATCTGTGCACGATCCATTTTCGTCATTCAATCATTTTGAACATTTCACAAGACGCAACGATTTTCAAATTTTCAAAAAGAAACAAAAGGCACACGTGCTCTGCTATAAAATTCAATCCAGAAGAAGAAGAGATGGAAAAGAGAGAGAGAGAGAGAGAGAGAGAGAGGTTTCGAGGGTGTAAAAGTAGCCAGCCGCGTATCAGCTGTGGAACAGGTGCCGAGGGTAGGTCCGCGAGCAACGAGTAACGGCGAAGCAACGAAAGGCTGGCACGGCAAGCGAAACGTGGTCAGCAACGCCGGCCACGAGGCACGCGCCAAATCGAATGA